CGGCGTGAGATGGATGTGACGCCAGGCCATCCTGAGTTACCAGGGGTCTTTGTCCAGGGCCAAACGTGGATGGCCGAGCGGGAGGCAGCCCGAGTTTGGGACTGGGTTCGGGTTCCGGGCCCGAGTGTTGACGGGCAGTTTGTTTTCCATGGGCCTTGGTGGTGGTCTCCGAAACACCGAAGTAGACTGCTTGGTTATGGAAGAGGCAAGGGGTCTGGGGAGGCGAGAAAACGAAGAGCTTCAACTTTTTGCCATTGCATTTGTCAGTCCTCTTGCGATCGAGTTGGTTTGTGAGCAGTCGTGACTAAACACTCTAATGGTGCTCATCAATCACGTCAAGAGCCACCTAGGAACCTTAGGGAGGCAAGAGGGTACCTCTAACTCGGAAACCCAGGCAGGGACTAGTGGAGCTCCGAACACAGTGACGGGAGAACGGGAGGCTGAGGAGGGGCGATTTAGATGCTTTGGGCCTAGGGGTCATGGGAGAGGGGCGGGGGGCCTCACTTCACCTCCACGTCCCAGGTACATCCATTGTCCAGAAGGTCAATGGGATGGGGAGTCAAAGTGCCACCCAGCATCACTTGGCTGGTGGCAGAGGACCTGGCGCTGCGGCGCAGTCTGTCAGCGAACGACAAGTGACTTCGAACGCAATATGTTGCTGCCAGGTACATTTCGATTTGATCGCCAAGGAGCATGTTAGGGGCCACGGCCAAGGGCGAACAAGAAGAAGGAGAAGGAGGGGAGGCGAGCAAGGAAGACTGGGCCAAGTGATTCGCCCCCAGTCCAGGTCCACGACACACCAGTCGCCCGTTCAGTCAGTTCCAGCTCGGTTTCCAGGCAGCCGTTCCCTGTCTGAGGGAGGGGAGGGAGGGGAGGGAGGGGGGTCCCAGGCGCTGGTGGTGCTGGTCTGGTAGCGAGGCCAGAGACTGACTACCTGCCAACCTGCCTACCCTTCCGCCACTCCTGCCACTAAGAACTCCGGCTGGACCATCACAGCCTTGGTGGATTGGATTACCTCACCTCCCCTCGCCTCTCCCGGCCTGCCTGAGGTAGGTGGGTTCCCTACTCAGGTACCTACCTACCTACCTTACTTACCTTGGTACCTAGGTAGGTACCTACCTAGGTACTCGGCAGGGTGGGTTGTGCATGCACGCACAGTACATCAATCAGCCAAGCAAGGTACCTGCCCGTCCGCCTTACCCACACAAGCACCCCGTAGGTACAGGTGGCAGAGCCAGCAAATAGCACGCGGCCCGCCGACAACAGCATCTTTGTCCCGCCATTGCGGCCTCTCCTCCAACATCTTCCCTCCTCGAAGCATCGCTTGTACCCCGAGCTGCCTCTACGTCGACCGCAGTTCCTCCTCGGTCGCCTGCCCTCAAGCCGACTCGTTCGCTATCGCACTCGCACCACCCGAGTCCCCAACCTCCCCTGTGGTGGCTTTCCACTGCAAGTGTCGCTAGGTGTCCGCGTCACCTCATCACCCTGACCCAAGACGCCCAGCCCACCAACGCTGCCGGGCCCGTGAAGCGGGGGGTGGTCGTCTGCACGACACAGCCTCAACTCTGCCATCGACAGCGTCGTCAACACGACCGCTTAGCATCCTGCGACGCCTTGTTCGGCATCCATTTCCAGCCATCATTGTTTCCTCCGACACCCTCGCGTTTCACTGCTAGACAATCCATCGTTATCGCCTCGCCGCCTGGCGACTGTTTGCGACCATGAGCAACTCGCGCAATGCTGGCGGTCCCGCTGCTGGGTGAGCTTCAATCCAGCCCCCCCCTCTCCCTTCTCGAAAGGCTGTCGACTGTCGTGTCCGGTGCCTGATGTCTTGGGCTCTCGGCCAACGCTCGATGCACCGCAGAGAGTCGTCAGGTCCGCTCTGTGAAAACTGGTTCACTAACGTTGGTGGTTCCAGGTCGCCCAACCTTCGAGTGACGAGTTCGTCCCGTGCCCCTCTACCACTCCCCCGCCTTCCCTCGCTAACAATTCAATTCAGTCATCGCAGCAGACGGCCTGTACAAGCGAGATGTCTTTCGTATGACGATCCCAAACACTCCATATTCATCCCAAGGATGATCGCGCTACTGACACTGGGGCCCCGCACAGGTTTCCCCGACCCCTTCGCCGTCATCACTGCCAATGGCGACCAGACCAAGACGACCACGGCCCAAAAGAGAACGTTGAACCCGTACTGGAATGAGAGTTATGACTTGTGCGTTGCCCGCGCTTGTGCCTCACGGGAGTGGCATGATTAGCACAGCGTGCTGACCGGAAAACAGATCGGTCACTGAAGATACCATTTTGGCGGTACAGGTCTTTGACCAGAAGAAGTTTAAGAAGAAGGATCAGGGCTTCTTGGGCGTCATCAATGTTCGCATCGGCGACGTCATCGAGCTCGCCCCTGATGCCGACGGTAAGCTGCCCGCTGAGGCGACCTAGGTCGCTCGCCTTGCGTCTCTCACTAGCTAACCTGGCCGTCTTCTCTCTCCTTAGACCAGATGCTCACCCGTGACCTCAAAAAGTCAACCGACAACTTGGTCGTCCACGGAAAGCTCATTATCAACCTATCCACAAACCTGGCAACCCCCGCTCGCGGCCAGACCGCTGCGCCAAACCGCCCCGGTCCACCTCCGTCTGCGAACGCATCAAGCCTGTCCACCCCGCAAACCGACAACAGACCCGGCTCGGCCATGGAGAACCCCTCGAGCACCCTGGCGCCCGGATCTGCCACCAACCTGCCTCTACGACCCGCCAGCGTGACACCAGGCGGTCCTCCACCTCCCGCTGCTGGCGCAGCCCCGGCTACCGGTTCGACTCCTCGACCTACAAGCCAATTGAGCCCCTTTGAGGATGGACAAGGCCGGCTGCCAGCAGGCTGGGAGCGCCGGGAAGACAACCTGGGACGGACGTACTACGTTGACCACAACACGAGGACGACCAACTGGAACCGTCCCACGGCTGCCGGTGCTGCCGAGCAACAAAACAACCGTGAGGCGGCTACGCAGGTCGAACGCCAGCGTCACCAGAACCGAACTCTGCCCGAAGACCGCACCGGTGCCAACTCGCCGACGCAGCAGCAACAGCAGCAGCAGGTTCAGCAGGCTGCACAAGCTTCAAACAACCAGACCATGATGCACACCGGTGCCACCAGCCCAGGAACCGGCGAGCTTCCTCCTGGATGGGAACAGAGGTGGACGCCCGAAGGGCGCCCCTACTTTGTCGACCACAACACAAGGACCACCACCTGGGTCGACCCGAGACGCCAGCAGTACATCAGGATGTACGGCGGACAGAACAACCAAAATGGCACCATTCAGCAGCAACCCGTGTCGCAACTCGGCCCTCTTCCTAGCGGCTGGGAGATGCGTCTGACGAACACAGCGAGGGTATACTTTGTCGACCATAACACCAAGACGACGACGTGGGATGATCCTCGACTCCCTTCATCGCTCGACCAAAATGTGCCGCAGTACAAGCGTGACTTCCGCAGGAAGCTTATTTACTTCCGTTCGCAGCCTGCGATGCGCATCCTCTCCGGGCAGTGCCACATCAAGGTGCGGCGCTCGCACATTTTCGAGGACTCGTTTGCCGAGATATCAAGGCAGTCAGCCACGGATCTGAAGAAGAGGCTGATGATTAAGTTCGATGGAGAGGACGGTCTTGATTACGGCGGCCTTTCTCGTGAATTCTTCTTCCTCCTGTCTCACGAAATGTTTAACCCCTTCTACTGTCTTTTCGAGTACTCAGCGCACGACAACTATACTCTTCAGATCAACCCTCACTCTGGCATCAACCCCGAGCATCTCAACTACTTCAAGTTCATCGGACGCGTTGTTGGTCTGGCCATCTTCCACCGACGCTTCCTCGACGCCTTCTTCATCGGCGCCCTATACAAGATGATCCTCGGCAAGTCTGTCGTACTTGCGGATATGGAGGGTGTCGACGCCGACTTCCACAGGTCGCTGCAGTGGATGCTGGACAACGACATCTCGGGCGGTATTCTCGAGCAGACGTTCTCTACGGAAGACGAGCGCTTTGGAGTGATTTGCGTCGAAGACTTGAAGCCCGATGGCCGCAACATCGATGTGGACAATGACAACAAGAAGGAGTATGTCGATTTGATGGTCAAATGGAGAATCGAGAAGCGCATTGCCGAGCAATTCCAGGCTTTCCAGACTGGCTTCCACGAACTCATTCCCCAGGACCTCATCAACGTTTTTGATGAGCGCGAGCTCGAGCTGCTCATTGGTGGTATCGCTGAAATTGACGTCGACGACTGGAAGAAGCATACTGATTACCGCGGCTACACTGAATCGGATGAGGTTGTCCAGTTCTTCTGGCAGACCATCCGCTCCTGGGACGGAGAACAAAAGTCACGTCTGCTGCAGTTTGCCACGGGTACTTCGCGAATCCCTGTCAACGGTTTCAAGGATCTTCAGGGCAGTGATGGCCCCAGACGCTTCACGATTGAGAAGGCGGGAGAAGTCAACAACCTTCCCAAAGCCCATACATGGTATGTTCTCACCCTCATAAAGACACAAACACGAGGAAAGAATCTGACACGTGACGCAGTTTCAACCGCTTGGACCTGCCACCGTACAAGAATTTAGAGGCGCTGCAACAGAAGCTGACGATTGCTGTTGAGGAGACCATGGGCTTTGGCCAGGAGTAATGTTCTGATCGGTCTTACTCGACCGACTTGTGTGTTTTGGCCGCCGAGACGTGCGAGAAGAGGCAGCTTGGGCATTGTATGTTGGCCGTCTGTGGCCAAGCATGGGTTGGTTGGAGATACTTCATTGTAAGGATTTACGCTTAAGAAGGAATTGTCGCACCTCAGGTCTGCAAGCATCATTGTCTTGGGTGTTTTCGCCATTCCTTGGACGACGAGCGGTCGTTGGGCGCGGGCGGTGGCTTTCTATTGGAATACATTTTCGCTTTCATACTTGGTTTTGTTTTGTTTTTTTCATTCTCTACGGTCTGCATCATTGCGAGCAGGCGGTGAATAGAGGTCCTGGTTGACTGGTATTTTGCGCGAGGCCTTGTGCGAGAATCGAATGCGAATCCGTTCTCATTGTCGATGTCCCTGCTGTCTCCTGTCTCCTTCTGGGTCAACATTGACTTCTGTCTTCTTCGCTTCGTCGTGACTTAGCCATGCTAATATTCTTTTCTCTCTTAAGATCAACCATTGCACGCATCAGGAAAAATCTCGTCGTGGTAAAACTCAGGCGGGCCTTTTCGTGTTGTACAACCCATCTCCAAGGTCAATCTATCGATGGATCCTTCTGCCCTATGTACAGCTGGTCCACGCGCCAACGTCACAAAGAAAAACGAGCCCTGGCCGAATAACCCTCCGAACCAACAATCTTGACACCACGATTCGGAAGGTGGAGAGTCGGGCAACCTCTCCTAAGAACAAGCTCTCCTCATCCCGCCTCCGCCTCCCTTTCCTTTTGTCTGCTCCCACTTCCTCGGCTATCCATCCAGCACACACGCCCGACTCGACGGAGAAGCCAGCGTTGGGCCACCCACATACACGCCAAGAGTCGATCCGATGAGGGAAGGGCCGGTCTGGTCCGGGTATGGAGAGAAACCCCCGTGGGAAGCAGGAGCAGATACACAGAGCGCGGCGCGCCTACTTCCTGTGCCACATCCTCGTGATCTTGGTATTGCGCATCTTGCGCTGGAGCTGGAAGATGCCGTACATGAGGGCCTCGGAGGTCGGGGGGCAGCCGGGGACGTAGACGTCGACGGGGACGATGCGGTCGCAGCCGCGGACGACGGCGTAGCTGTAGTGGTAGTAGCCGCCGCCGTTGGCGCAGGAGCCCATGGAGATGACCCAGCGGGGCTCGGGCATCTGGTCGTAGACCTGGCGCAGGGCCGGGGCCATCTTGTTGGTGAGGGTGCCGGCGACGATCATGACGTCCGACTGGCGCGGCGAGGCGCGGAAAATGATGCCGAGGCGGTCCTGGTCGTACCGCGGGGTCGAGAGGTGCATCATCTCGACGGCGCAGCAGGCGAGGCCGAAGGTCATGGGCCAGAGGGAGGACTGGCGAGCCCAGTTTGTGATGACGTCGAGGGATGTGCTGTTTTTTTTTTTAGGTCTGTCAGCTGCTGTTCGGATGGCTGCGGTATCAAGAGGGATGTTAAGAGGAGGAGGAGGGCCGGCGGCAGAGTTGCGTACAGGGCATATTGCAGGACGCCCTTGGTGCCCTCCTGGCTCGGGAGGGGGACGTTGTTGGGGAGCAGGCTGGGCGTGCCGGCGGTCCGGGGCTCGAGGGCGCTGGCGCGTTCGTTGCGCGACGAGGTCGAGAGGGAGGCGGCGAGGACGCGGGGTGCGATGGGTGCGAGGGAGGCGGCGGGCCTTGCTGTTCGAGTTCACACACATGTCAGCAACTTGATCATCGTCGTATCTTCCGAGGGACAGTATGGGTGGCGAGGAGGGGCTGCGTCGTGGTTTTCCGTCATACCCACGGCTCCGCAAGGGGAAATGTTACCTCGTAGGGCCATTGAGGCCGCTGGCCTCCAGGACTGCAGCATTGTGAGGGTCGTTGAAGGTGTCAATTGACGAGGTGAGAAGGAAAGGAGTGGAGAGGTCTGTGTCGGAGATGAGCGTGGGCGTTGGGGGCGCTGGGGGGCGACGCTTCTGACAGAGCTCAGTTCGTAGTCGAGATGGTTGACGTTGACGATGCGGTGGTTTTCGCCGCCTCGCTAATTGCAATCGACGGGCCCTGATTGGCTCTTCAGGACCGAGACAGACGTGCGAGAAGTGCCCGGTGGCTTATGTAATAAGATTCACCTTATGTAAGAAGACGTAGGTGAGGAGACTTAGGTGAGGAGACTTAGGTAAGCAGATTTGGGTTGACGAAGCGGACGTTGCGAGCCACAGACAAAGAGCGGCAATGTCTCATTCGCTCCCAGAACTCGCTGCTGTTCGGTGAGCATGGCCTTCGCATTCGCTCAGAATGTCATGATGATCTGCATTTCCCAACAGAACCCAATACAAGAGTTGAGCCTTGGTACGAAATGTCAAGATCCGGGATGCGATCCCTCGGACATAGGCTCCGTGGTCTATCGCTGACCAATCCCCCCCCTCTTGCGTGAGCGCGCTCGTCATCGCCCGACCCTCCGAACTTGTTCCGACATGAACAGCAGGAGCTCGATCACCTCATTTTCATTCGAGTCAAGCGATGCGTGTCTTTCCATTCATTCAAGGCCTTCGAAACCATCATGACTGTAGACAAGAGTGCCACTGGTAGTAGCCTTGCGGCGGGTGCCGCTGATGACGAAGAGACCATCGCCACAGAGACGACATCGCTCTTGAACTCTGAGACGAGCTCCCGCACCCTGTCCGATGGCTCGGCATCACGTCCCCAGCCGCGACGGGACTCCGATGCTGATTCCAACGCACCCAAGCAGTCTGTCGGTACCGCAAGAGCCGTAGCCATCATCTTCAGCACATGGGTGTTGATCTTCCTCACAGGTATGATGTCCATCGCGGATGGTGTAAGTCCCCCCCCTGTAGTCAGCCTTCCACTGACCCAGCCAAGCTTCCAACATGTCCGGCATCACCATGGCCCAATCTGCCATTGCCGAAGAATTGCAAGCCTACGAAGAGGCTCTGTGGTTTACGAGCTCGTATCTCATTTCCACGTCGGCCTTGTCCCCGCTCATCGGCCGATTGGCCACCATCTTCTCGCCCCGCGTCCTCGTGTTGCCCACTGGCATATTCTTTGCTACTGGAGGTGTCGTAACGGCTACGGCTCCCTCATTTGGCGTCTTCATCCTTGGCCGAGTTCTGACCGGAATAGGCGGAGCTGGCATCTCCAATCTCGCCATCATCCTGGTGCTGCAGCTGACCAGCAAAACGAAGCGTGGCATCTTTGTTGGCCTGGTTAATGCCGGCTTCACAATTGGCCTCTCATCCGGTGCTGTGGTGTACGGGGCTCTACTGCCTGCAGTTGGCTGGGTATGTTATGAACAGGCTTCATGAATGTGTGTATACTGCCTCAGTGGAGCTGACCTTGACACAGAGGTTGCTTTTCGGTATTCAAGCGCCGATCGCCCTCGCCGCTGGACTTGGAGTCTTTCTCAGCCTTCCCAGCTCGTTCAAGTCGGGTCATAAATCTTCTGAGAAGTCGATCAGAGAAAAGCTGGCACGGATTGACTATGCCGGTGCTATCGCCCTGGTAAGACGCTCTTGATCTCCAGAATGCCAGCTCCAACTCTTCAAGAGGCTTACCAGTCTAGATGCTCACTATAGTGCTTTTCTTGGTCGGCCTCTCTGGAGAGATCAAATGGGTGCCCATTCTACTCTCCGTGGCGGGAGCTGTGGTCTTCGTTCTGATCGAAGTCTATGTTGCCGTCGACCCTGTCATCCCTCTGTCTATTCTTTCATCTCGGGGCGTCTTCTTTTCCTGCATTGCGCGTAAGTACTACTTCATAGGGCCGCAAAGCTCACCACTAACCCTACCAGAACTTCTTTTCATGGCCTCCCGCTGGACCGTTCTCTTCTACTCGCCCATATTCTTTCTGGCCGTTCGCGGTTACGCCCCGGCCGTGGCCGGATCGATCCTCATTCCCACCAACCTCGGCTTTGGCTCTGGTGGCCTCATAGTCGGGTGGCTCCACGTCCGCCGCAACGGCGCTTTCTGGCTCCCCTCTATCATCGGTCTCGCCCTCTTCGGCACCTCCCTCTTTATCCTCTCCGTCGTGAGCGCTCCGGAATCCTCTGCATGGCTATTTGTCCTCGTCGTCTTTGCCAATGGCCTTGCCACCGGCGCTTCTCTCAACTATACCCTCGCACACATGTTGCACCTCAGCCGGCCGGAAGAGCACTTCATCTCCGCGAGCCTGTTGGGCACATTCCGAGGGTTTGGTGGCAGCTTCGGCACGGCCATCGGCGGGGGCATATTCTACCGGCTGTTGCATGGAGGCCTATTGGAAGGCTTCTCCCAGCTTGACGGCGGACTAACAAAGGAGCGACGCGCATTGGTGACCAAGTTGATGGGCAGCCCAGCGCTCGTGTTCAACGGCGACCTTGGGGGTGCGGAGCAGGGAGTCGCTGTCGAGGGATACGCGAACGCTTCCCGAGGCACATGGGCAGCCGCTGCGATCTTGGCCATCTTCATTGTCGCTCTTCAGGCTGCCTCAGGGTGGGACAAGCCGGCAGAGAAGGTTGATGAGGAAGAAGAGGTGAACGAGCGAGCGAACTTGCTGCAAAGCGAGGGCGTTGTGGAGGCATGAGATGCACCCTCAGTCAGTCTTCGAGCTCGAGACACTCGGCCGTCACCCCATCTGGCTCTCGGTTTACTGACGCCCCCTCTCTATCAAATCACGAGCGGATCATTTGATATGTTCTACTCACATGTCTACGGCCTTATCACAGGGCTTGCTTCATTGCACTATTGTATTGACGTTACATCTCCATTAGCATCCGACGTTCAGCGATTGATGCCTGCTCCCAGTGCCCTAGCTCTGGTGCCCCGTCACCCTCTTACTGTAGGTCCCAGCAGTTCGCCTACGAGTATATCAGTATTCAAGCCCTACCATAAGACATGCGTAGATCAAGCTGCAACTTACATTTACGAAAACATTCTGCCCGTCCGTGATGTCCCTTGTCGAGAAGATGCGAATGTCCAGGCGGCCTGGCAATGCGGGCATAAAAACATGTGGGATGACAGGACGTCCCGCCTGGCCACCCTGACACGGAACCATCTCCTCCAACGCTGCCCGGGGGAACACCATCTCCGGTGGCGGCGTCGCCTTTCAATGTCTGCCCCGTGTTTATGAGATAATTCTTCACGTTCATGGCAACCTGGCCGTTGCCGCCAGCACGAAGCTGCGGGCCAATGACTGGGTACGAGAGCAGATACGCGGCCATGCCAGCTGTGATGGCCGTTGCAGGAGAGGTGCCCGATTGATGTTTCCAAGTCTGACCACTGCCACCGGCCTCATTCGATACGCTTTCGGTCCCGGCGCAGTCGACATCGGTGCCGATACTGTACAGACTCAAGATGCCCTTTCGTCGCACGTCGACGTGCTGGGATTTCAGGTTTCGCGATCCGTCGTACTGCGCGTTGCCCACCACGATGAGTCCCGAGTCACGTCCACCAGCAGCCCGCGGCGTGCTGTAAGACAGGTCCCTGACAACTTCGTCTTCTTTCAAGGCGTCGTTCCCGGCAGAGGCGACTGCCACGATGCCCTGTGCCATAAACTCGGGCAGATACACCAGGTACGGGTCGGCGTACTTTGTGACCGGCGCGCCCTGGGTTCTGGGGTCCTCCCACCAGAGGCTCGCGACGGGCAGACTGAACGACATGGAAATGACGGACCTGCCGAAGAGGTTGTTGTCGTAAACATAGCGCTGGATGGACAAGAGGGCACAGATCGTTCTGGATACCGTGCACTTGTGGGCTTGGTTATCAAGGTGCATCAGTTGCACCAGGACAAGGTCGGCACGCTTGGCCACCCCCGAGTGTTTGCGTCGCAGTCATGGTACAGCTTGAACTGCTGGTGCTGGTCGTAACCGTTGGTGTTGCGGTCGGTTTGGGGGGTTCATCTGGTGAGCCACCTCCTGGGCTGCCGATCAAGACTGCAAGGACAGCGGCGAGAGAGGCGACTAGAAGTCTTCAGTACAGGGACAAGGGATAACGCATGATCCTCGCTTCTGAAAATGTCTTCCGGGGAATGTTCAAGGACAACGGATCTGGGGTACTTACAGATGCCAGTGGCTACTCTTCCGGCAACAGCAGCAATACCAATCTTGTCAATCTATGCCAAACCGTATATCAGCAACAGTCTCTGGATAGTGACGTAAAATAACATCGAGTGCTTTCGTACCGCAGTGGAGGCAATGTCAAGGTGAGCGGTCACATCAATGTCCGGCAAAATGTCCATCTCCAGAGCAGGCTCAGCCTGTGCGCTGTCAGCAGCAGCAGCATCCACAGGCCTTTGGAAAGATTCTATGCTGCTTTGGACTACCGCCTCGTATTAGTATTTGCGCAAGCCAGGCCTGTCACATTCAACTCACCTGCTGCCTCTAGAGCATTGGCTGTCTCCTCATCAACCTGCACACCGCTGCGTCAGGATTCATGTACCCAGATTTGATCCATCCAAAAGGCCACTTTCACAAGGGGTGGGGATTGACTGACCCGTGTAGGACCAGCGACATTTATGTCGTAGCGTTTGGCTATTTTGTATCCTCTGATGATCTTAGGTGCGAACGGTTCTGCATTGGTTAGCCCATGGCTTTTCCCATTGCAGTCCAACATTTTCTCCGGGACCAGGGACACCCTGAGATAGCCCTGATGTGATCTTTTCACTTACTGATACTGGCTTGAATTCTGTTGAGATTTTTGAAGCCTCCTACAAGGCGCTCCAGAATCTTCCTCTCTCGCTCTGTGAGAGGGATCCTCGCGACGAGTCTTGGATCATCATTGGCTCGTCGAACCTTGGACGAACCTTGTCGAATTTTTTGATACTCCTCAAGGTCTTCTTTGTACTGAGCGACAGCGGATCTTGCCTCTTTCAAAGTCTCGTTGTATGCTTTCAAGTCTTCGACGAGCTGCTGAATAGTCGGCATGAACCATGTCTCATCCTGGTATACTTGGATTCGGTTACCGTCGCCACACAGCTGCTTAGCATCTCCTGCACAGACTTTATTACAGTCTCTTTGAGGAGCATCCTCAGCATCATGGAGCGTGTTTCCGACAAAACACTCGCTTATTGATGACCGTGTCAGCTTCTTTACTGACGACAACGATAAGGCGGTGTGTTGGAGATCCTACCTGCCGAATTCAACACCTGCGTATTGCCAGTTGTTGTTCCGAGCAAACTCTATGCATTTGCTGACAGTCATACCTGTATTGCTGGCATCGACAGTACTGTCCGCCCTCAGAACGCGCCGTTTCAGGTTCGCAACGTAGAAACAACCTTTGTTGACAAAGTTGTCGATGCGAGGCACTAGTGTTGGTAAGGTTAGAGTCGTAGTCGTTGGCACCGACGCAATACTTGTTGTAGAGCTCGTAGATGTCGTGATCTCTCTGTCTGTTGCCGTAACAGGAGTCGTGGCGCTTGTCGTGGCTCGGGTCGTACTCGACTTGACCTCACCTGAGCCGCCAACGCAGCCGCCCTTGTTACACTTCTCGCCTGGCGAGCAAACGTTGCAAAGTTCGCCGAGAACACATTTCACACTCTCATAGTCGCAGCAAATAGCACCTGAGACGTAACAGTTGCCGTGGCTGCATGCCGTATGGCGGGGGACTTAGTAAACCTTGATCAGGGGCAAGGCCCGTTGCATTTTGGTGTGAAACTCACCAGCAAACACTACCGTCACACCCGACGGCCTCGAAGGTGATGGGGTTCGGAGCGCACCACGATAAACCCGGCACCGCGCAGCCGACTGTGCCTTCGAAATCGACACAAGTGCGGTCACCGGGACACACAACATTCCCTCCACAAGTCGTCTGTGAGCAAAGGAAACCATCTGGGCAAGAAGGATCTCGCGAAGCACGCCGAGATAGATCGCTGTAGCTCACAGAGGCGTTCAACGGCCGCGTGATCCCTAGCTGAGAAGGTCAGGCCAAAGCAACAGGTGCGTGGATCAAAAGGACGGCGATTCCATGCAACATGGATGGATTCAGGAGGCGAAGGACCATGCTGGATGTCTGAAAAATCTGTGAAGGCCTCTAGTCACTGGTTGGGGATGTAGTCGAGGCGGCAAGTGACGGTGCGGACTTGATGCATATGACTTGATTGCATGTCCAACCGAGAATATCTGAGAACCTCGACTTTATCTGGCACGTGAGAAATCTCTGTCACTGATTATCCCCGGGGTACCTTGAGGCGTGGCATCCATGTACGGACCGCATACATATGGGGTGTGATTCCCTGGTCGGCTCCTCGGCCTAGCGTTCCGACTCAGTGATCGCGGCGTTTCCGGACTGGTTAGCTGGCGAACATGGCTTTCATTACGTTTCTGGAAGTCCTTGATGTGTTCCGATACGTCAACAAGGTCTGATAATAGCATGTTAGTTGAACAAGACGAGAGGATCTACCCCCTGGCTAGCCAGTCCCTAACGAGAAGCGGCCGACATTGCGGTGGCCACCTAGAGTCCAGACCATGCTTCTTACTTGCAGGCAGCGCAAACACGTGGTCAGCTTTGACGAAGACGGGCAGTTGGAAATGGTTCAGCTCAACTTGGATAGAGAATCTTGGCGAATGGGGTTGACTGCATCGTGCATTTAAAGTAGGCAAAGCCGGCAGCGCACATTGAAATCCACCCGACTACACACAATCCTTTCGTTGTGCTGACCGCATGATTCAGGGTTATCAACTGAGCCGCAATTTCGATGCTTTGCTTTACTAATGATGAACTGGGAAATGGAGACGTGTAAGTCGCCGTCTCGAGGAAGGTTTGCATTTCTCGTGGCCAAGTTATATCCTTCGCCTTAGCCATTTCGTGATCTTTCATAAGGACGCAGGCGCAGCTTTCGTTCGTGACGTAGACGAGAGCCGCAGTCGACACAATGCCTTTTGTACTACGTCTCTCTTCGTTCTTCTTGTCGTTTTTCGCCAGCATCGCCGTTGCCAACGATGTCAACGCCGGGTTCAACGCCTACATGGCAGCCCAGGTCATGGTCGACCGGGCCTCTCATTCATGGGAATGGGGCACCGCCGCGGAAGCTTTGCTAGAGCTCTATAACCCAGAGCTGTCCGTATTTGGACCCGAGCCCTTCCCTGGAGGCAAGATTCCCAACGCGGACCCGTCAACGTTCGCCCTGAGATATGCGAGGCGGCACATCAACCGAAACTCGCAGATTCTAGTCAGCGACACCGCTGTGGGTGATCCCGCTTCCCTTGGGGTTTCGGCTATCCTACTGGGACAGTCGGAGAATGTATACCTCGGCGCCTCTAAGCGGCAGGCTGAGTACCTATTGAACTCGGCCCCGCGTTGGAGCAACGGCGCCATTTCACACAGGTCGGAGGAAGCTGAGTTGTGGATTGACAATATGGCCATGTCCTTCCCTTTCCGTAAGTTCCACACCCATAAGCCAGATTCATGATGCAAGCGAGGACTTGAACTTAATACAGTCAATAGTTGCAAATCAGGCCGTCCAAGACGACGACGCCTCTCTGATGGCAGAGACTGTGCGTCAGTGTGGGCTATATCGAGACGTGCTTCAACCAAGCGGGACCTTGAACTGGCGTCACATTGTCGGCCCCATGTCCCCAGACCATGGGCTCTGGTCAACAGGCAATGGCTGGGCAGGCTACGGCATGGTGCGCGTGCTCCACACGCTGCAGAAGTGGCCCAGGTCCGCCTCGATGTCGTGGCAGGCTCAACAGCTCAAAACTTGGATCAAAGAGATTGTCGACGGCGCAATGCTCTCCGGGTTTGATGGTGGCCTGCTGCGCAACTACCTCAACGACAACAGCTGGTTCGGCGAGATTTCCGGCACAGCAATGCTGTCGGCTGTGGCGTATCGGATGGCCGTCAACGACCGAGCCATGTTTCCCCAGCGGTATATCACCTGGGCGGACACCAACCGCAAAGCGCTCTCTGTGCGACAGGGTCGTGACGGTGTCTTCGTCCCGGCGGTCAACCCTTATGCGTGGCTCGACAGAAAACCATACTACGACGGATCATCCGAGGGCCAGGCATTCGCAGTACATCTCTATACAGCCTACCGAGATTGTGTCAATGCCAAAGTGTGCGCAGAACCACCATCATCAGCGGCCACCGTCTCTAAGCAGGGTCTTGGGCCCAGAAACATCGTGACCATATTGACCAGCCCCGTCACCTTCACCGCCATACCGGACCCAACAGGCACCGTCTGTGCTGCGCCTCAGAGCTGTGACGACAGCGACTGCAACGGCGCTTTTGACGGCCTCTCCAAGTTTCCCACATGTACTGGCAACTTTGAGGGTTGCGAGTGTACTGTCACGCCCGAGATATGCGGTCCGCATCAGCCCTGTGACCGTAACGGCTGCGCCGGGGCGTTCAACGGCCTCGCCAAGTATCCCACGTGCACTGGCAACTTTGAAGGCTGTGAATGTACGATAACGCCAGACATTTGTGGTCCACGCCAGCCGTGCGACCGGAATGGTTGTTCAGGTGCTTTCGACGGACTCACAAAGTATCCCAAATGCACCGGCAACTTTGAAGGATGTGAGTGTGCAGTCACGGCTGAGATCTGTGGCCCTCATCAACCCTGCGACCGCAACGGCTGCGCCGGAGCATTCGACGGTCTCGCCAAGTATCCCAAGTGCAGTGGCAACTTTGAGGGCTGCGAGTGCACCGTGACGCCGGAAATATGTGGTCCGCGCCAGCCGTGCAACCGCAACGGGTGCGAGGGCACCTTTAACTGGTACCAGCCGTACGCCCAGTGTTCCAACAATTTCAAGGGCTGTGAGTGCTCGCCGACGCCAGAGACGTGCGGTCCTCCGCAGCCCTGCGATCGTAACAACTGCGACGGGACGTTTTGGGGTAACGTACCCAGCCAGCAGTGTAACAACTTCTTCAACGGCTGCGTCTGCCAGGCGACTTCGAACACTTGTGGTCCGAAGCAGTCCTGTGATAACAATGGATGTGCTGGCGGCTATGACTCGAACGGCGTGGCTCGATGCCAGGGCAACTTCCGCGGGTGCGAATGCAACCCCTCTTCTGTAAGTCGATCCGAGCTGTTGCGGCTTCATAGAGCAGTAGGATTTGCTTTGATCTGAATATCTCCGTGCTGATAGTGTGACAGAGAACTTGTGGCACGGCTCAAGATTGTGATCTCAACGGTTGCAATGGCACTTTCGACAACCATTCCAATGTCGCACGCTGCCGCGGCAGCTTTGCGGGTTGCGTGTGTAATCCAGTTCCGGTACGTGGACAACATCGGGGCGTTGACGAGGCTCTGGACAGTCGCTTCAACGTCCCCAAATCAACTTGAAGCCCAGTTGGACAGGGTTTATGCTAACACCGGAAACCTGAGGCCACATGTGGAACCCGGCAGAGTTGCTTGGCAAACGGCTGTAACGGCATCTATAACAACGGCAACCCCATCTGCGCGGGCAACTACTTCGGATGCCCTTGCGAGGGCGATCCAAGATGGATCCCCGAGCCTCCTAAGCCGCCACGGCCCGTCGCCCCGCGCAAAGCCGGTTTCATGATCACCACGGTGTCGGTGATGATTAACAAGAAGGTCATCGACTCGTATAAAGTGTTCAACCTTAGAAATGTCTTACTTCCCGGCGGCATCTGCGACCAAAGGTTCATCAGCGGACGTGAGGACACATCGCCCCGGCCGTATCCGGATAGCCTCCCGGCTTTTGATATAGACTCATTCAGCAACTGCAGGTATTCGGGAACGGCCCGGGCTGTTGGCTCTCTGACGTGCAACGATAACCCCCTTGTTGAGTGCACTGCCGCCCGGGGAGGGGCGAGCTGCAACGACGCCAATGGCCTTATGAGTGCTCTGGTCCAGTTTAGGGTCGAGTGTTGGATTACAAGTCGGACTCAGAATTGACGTGGTAATTAGTCAGGTAATATGCATCTCGATTTTCGACTTGCCATTGGTCATCTGTGAGTGTTGATCAATACCGCTGTCGCAAGACTCGACGTCAAACGCCCAGCGCAACCGTGGTCACGAGGCTGCTGGACGGTAGCAGGGATGCTTTTGCTGCAGGTATAGCTAAGCCAAATTAGGCGGAAGGGCGGTACTGCGAGTAGCATCTCCCCTTTAAGCTTATTTGTGGCAAAAGGCTCCAGTTGATCAAAGTATGATCAGTGTACCTCAAGGAAGGCAGCTCAACAGCCCCCGTACAAGCGTCGACCGGTCACTATGGACTTTATACTCTCGTAGCTCCGAAAAAGGACCTCAGGTTTTGATAAATGAAGGCAAAATGTGTTGTTTAAGAAACGAAGAATGGATTGTGAATGACTGCTGCAATGGATTGCTGGACTACAGCTTTATGTGACACGTCACTGGACGAGCCTAGGGGATCACAGATTGTGGAAGAACCGAGAAGTGTATCCAAATAGTACACGTTCATGAAATCCTCTGATCCCATCATATCATAGTCGTTCACGCCATTTCTCCTTACTACACAAATTCAAGGTGACAGTATGTAGAGAATGAAGTACGAAGAGAAGCCAGGCCCTACCCAGCACTGCTGATGGCACTATCACTTTCACCTAGGCTGCTCGATTGAGTAATCCTGTACTTTTTATCCGCCGCATCATGCACTCTGATCACTGCATGGATGGCACCGTTTCCATTTTCGGGCGATGAAGTCTACCGTTTTAGAAGTGGGCATGTTCGGAGGGTAGGGCCGTGAGAGCTACACCGCTTGGTATACTCCCCCTTCGTGATCGCCAACTTCTACATTAGGCACCCCTAGTGGTGTAGCTCCGCAGATGTGACCTCTGTAGATAGGTGAACTGGACAGCTGTGAGACCAAACACCAATCTTTGCACCAATGGGGTCTGCTGATAGACCATGACGAGCTGCAGTGGGCGACGATCACGGACAAGCCTGGCCCTGTCGAAAGGGGCGCCAAGGTGCATATGTACCAACTTGTGTTCAGGGCGTACAGGCAGTGGTCACACGTTACGCCCACGGAAATGCGGTTAAAGAATGTCCACGAGTGTCATTGATGGATGCATCTGCTTGCGTTTCCAACGAGGTGATGTGGCTTGTGATCAATCTTTGGGTTGGGCGCATGCTGTGCAATGGGGTTGGTATAAACTAAACTTGGAGACGCTGGCTTTTGGCATGAAACCGATCTGCTTGGATTCTCTTGAGATCATACTCATCGAGAGAGCGGTGAAGAAAACGACCACGATAGCTGGCCCATCTACTGGCAGGGTGCCTCGTGCCTACGCCAAGCCGCCAGGGGGTGCTGGAGGATCAGCCATAGAGAACTGTCGTGCCATCTTTTCAGGGGCCTTTCAGATAAAAAGAGGATCCTTCGAAGCAGAGCGAGTGTGGCACAGCTACTGCCTCGGCCACTTCCGGCAGGGAACGCATCAGGAGGGCGCTCCTCCGTATGAGTCGAGCTCAGAGACAACACAAGCCTTGCCTGGTCCAACTTGGGAAGTACGCTTATGAAAACGACACAGCGGGGGAATATCTGTTCCGACTTGGCGCAAAGGATATGAGATATGTATGTCAAGTAATGTAACTCAGTACGTGATATGTGTAGGATGGGGGACACGACGCAGGCGACCCTACGCTTGCTCTTCCACTGAGCCACTGAGCTCGACGGTGGAAGACACAGCAAGGCGAGAAATGCCAAAAAGGGCAAAAAAAAAAAGAAAAAAAAAAGATATGCGTGCACTATTCGGCCCTCGTGGAAGAGAGCACTTGCTCTCATTGGATCATGGGCTAGTACATCGCAGGCGTAGATTCGGAGTTTCTTGTGCCAGCCGAAGTTCGATCACGGACCGGGAGTGGGGCCTCAGTACATGCGGAGCCGTCTGCCGCTCGGCGCGGGGCCGTCCTTGCACGTCACGACCCACTAGGTACTCGCAGGGAAGGAAAGAAGGGTTTCTCGCACTTGACAGAGAGATCCGCCTGGTGGTTTGTAGGTAAGAAACAGAAGAATTGACAAGAAGACTTGTAGTGAAGGGGGAAAGGTTCCTCTCGGCGATACGTGCATTGTGTAATAATTACGGATGGAGACATGCTAGTGCAGTGCCTCTTCGTTGGTGGTGCTTGTGATGGAGCACATCCATATGCGACCAAGATGTGCTGGACAGATGGAGTTTGTTGGGTCATTTGTGCGGGAACCAATGAAAAAATTGCCGACGAGCTTAAAAAGATGAACCAGATGACAGGCATGGAGGCATGGCATATCTGAGATGACGGCTTGACCTTGTACAAGCCCTCTGTCTTTCTCCTTCTTGCTCGCTTCAGTGTTTCGGCCGTGCTGTACTGACGGACCATGTGCAAAAGCTTGGCTGGCGTTGTTGGACTCGGTGGAGAAATGATTCCCCATGAGAAGCTGATGGAAAACGGTGCCCATGACCGGCGGGGTGGCGGAGTCAATCTCTGAGCCCTGGTGTTTCGAGGAGACAGCAGCAAGGCGAGGAGAAAGGCCAGAATGGAACGAGTTGATCCAGAGAGATCGTCACAGGCAGAGAGACAGATGGAGCCAAGGCCTGGCTTGGCGACAAGTCCAGAACCAATTCTCGGAGGCTCTGCTGAAACGGAAGGCATGATACCATGCTGGCCTAGTGCTTGCCATTTGGATCCTCCTGCAGCCACATCAAGCCACATGGACTCTGGTCGTGCCTGCGCAGCGCAGGAGATGAGCTGGGCAGGCGACACGGCGACGTGGAATGGAACATTGGGAAGATGGACACAGACTGTCCATGGCGATGGGGGGCCCCGATTGCGATTGCCCAGCCCAAGTGGTCTGTCGGGGACCCCATCGGGGTGTGTGCAGAGGCCGTGACCCGCGGTGGGCATGGTGATTCGTGGAGAAAATTAGACCGGGTGAGCTCGAGACGACGGCAAAACTTTACGGCGGGAGCCTCCCCAGACTGGCGTGCGCCTGCCCACCTCCTCTCCTTCCATTCATCTCCCTTGACCCCTGCCCAAAGCGTTGATGGGCGGGAGGAACAAGGGGGGCAAGTGTGGTTCACGCCACTGACTCCTGCCCTGCTCCCCTCACAGGTGTCCTTTCCCCCGCACAGCGCAGTGGATTGTCGTTGCTGATTCCCCATCCCGCTACAACGAATCTGGTCCCACGCTGCCCACTCTGCCTGCCCGCTGCACACGCCTCCCACCCAGGACGACCCCACCAACCCGCCATTCTGGCGCGTTCCCCCTCGGCGTCTGTACTGCCTCTGCTGCATTTGCAGCACTCCCCCCTTCGGCATCCACGAGCCCTAGGCCTAGCCTCACCAGCAACTCGGCGTCAGCCAGTGGCGGCTTTCTCGTGGCCCATTGACGCAAAGACGAGCGAGTCGAGGAGCGAGAGAAACAGAGAGATCATGACGGGCAAAATGCGGTTTCTCGCCCTCTCCATCCCGAAACCCAATTGATTACTCCGCGGAAACTGGGGTGGGTGCTGGTCCCAGCCCACGCCCCTCCTTCCGGGGATCACTTTACAGGCCACAGCAGCCTAAATCCGAGTGCACGTTCTGTCATGGTCCGTCGGCTCAATGTTACGTCGCTCGCAAACACGGCTTCGCGGCTCTACGGCTTCGATGTCTGTGAAAGACAAATCGATGCTAAAAAAAAAATCCAAGGCCCCCGACCTGCTCGAATCGAACGCTATAGACGCAGCAGAGAGCAGGACCCTGGTGATTGGAGCCCATGCCGGCAGCTCCACGCCAAGCTCATCCACTAACAACCCCCCCCCAGCGCAATCGCCGGAAGCTCAATGTCAAGCATTCCCTTTCAGCCCTTCCTCTGGTGGGGAACAATTCCCACCACCGAGCCACGAACGACCTCGCCGTTCCCTCCACCAACGACAACCACTCGATTTTCCATCCCACCACCACCACATCTCCTCTTGCCCCCAGGAACGAACTGGTCCGACATAACGGATAGATTGACCTATCTGGCCGACAACCGTCCTAGACTGAAAGACCCCAGTCCAGCCTATTTGCGCCCCCTCCGATACACGCCCTTCCCTACCCGCTTCACCTGCGGTGCCGTCCGCCGCCCGCCGTCCGTCCTCGATTGCGCCGCTTGCGCCAGTGCCCGCTCCTGCGTGCCCAGACTTGTCCAGCTCTCGCCTTGTCGACCTCGACCGATTCTGACGTCCTGTTCTGTGCTCGCTTTCCTGCATCCCATTTCAGACTCCGCCAACCCAGCGACCCAGAAGAGGCTCAACTATCTCCGGCCTACTACAGACCAGCCTTGGTTCCGTTGCTGGAACCCCTTTGCGCTTCTTCGGTTTTCGGTGGAACATTTTCCTCTACGCCCGCGAGAGTTTCGCTTGTTGAATTCCGTCGTCGTCCTACAACCCGACACGCCCGCTTGCCTGCTTCGTCGCCTCACGAACGGACGACCACATCTTCTCCCGGACTTGCTGAAGATCAGCAAGCTCCCCCCCCCTCCCCTGCTCCGCTGTCGTTCCGTCCCAGTCCTTCTTTCTATACATTCTCGGGCCCCTCAGAGACAGACACTACATCGAGACCTGATTCCATCGCGGATGGCGCAACCACATCCGCCATAGCCTTCCGTGCCGATTCCCTGACGGAACACCCCTTCGCCAGCAACTCTATACTCCAACCTGCAAGCCTCCCTCCCGGATCACGAGCCGTAAAACGTGCATACAGTCGCCGACAAGTACCTCGAATTGGTGGAAATAAAGCTTGGCTCCACGAAGGCCACACAGCACGACAGGGCTACCAACACTCCCTGCCAGGCGTGCCAGCCCACTTCCTGGCAGTCACCCCCTCTCATCATCCACATCCCGTGCTTGACCCTCCGTCTTGACTCCTCCGTCTGTGCCTCCCGCGCCCTTCAAGGCCTCACGAGGACCCCCACTCGCCTGCCGTATCACGTCTCTTGCTCTGCTGCCGCCATATACCAAGCGCCTGACCGCTTCGGGCACTCTCGCCTAAGGACAACTTACCCGCCCCGGGGCGCACCACTCTTTCGCTCCTCGTCGATACGTCCGTCTTTCAACACTCCACGCCGCCGGACACCGCTCGGCTTCGAAGGGGATCGGGACGTCAGTCTGGGCTCAGCAACGCTCATTACCTTCAGCATCACACCAGATACCCGGAGTATCATATCATCTTTGGCCCATCGTTGACTTCGCTTAGGAGGAACCGATAGACGGGAAAGAAGCGGGATCGCTCACTCACCATCCGTTGTCCAACATCGGTAGCCGCTCAGACCGAGACTGAAGGTCTTTCACCAAGGGGAACATGGCGACAGTGCAGCAGCTAGCAGCCGGCCCGACGCCGGCACGACCACGAAGCATTAATGGCGCACGGGATGTCAGCATGGACGTCGACGCGAGTCCCTCCCACGCCCCGTCAAAATGTCTGAATAAGTTTGGCAGCGGGCCACAAAAGGGCGACACCCGGATCGTTGTCATTGTGTATGGCGAAGGACAGGACAAGATAGTCTCGGTTTTTGCTGACGTGCTTGGCAAGCCCTTCGGAATCAAGTCTGGATTCAAAGAGGTCAGTCCCGCGGATCAGGGAGTCGTGGTTGGTATCGCGGCAAGCCACGCCCAGGGTGACATAGCAAGCCGGGACAAAGATCTCGTCGTGGCCATTCATGCCCACTGTGTCAACCTCGGTATGCCGCCAGACCTTCATCTTTCGAGCGAGTGCGACTACGAGTTTTTATACACCGAGGCTCCTTTTTTCCGGCGGGATCTGTCAAGGTTCATCTCATTCACTCTTGGACAGATCAACCATCACGAGACCTTGATGGCAAAACCAAGGACGTACTTCATCTCGACGACGTTTCCCGACGTGAGCGCGGCGTTACCCAACCTTGATATTTTAACGGTCGGCGCAGATGCGGTGGAGATTCGAGTTGATCTGCTACAGGAGCCACTTGGCGACGGAAACCATTCAGCCATCCCTAGCCTCAGTTATATCGGTCAGCAGGTCATGCTGTTGCGCCAGCGAACGGAACTGCCGATCATCTTCACAACCAGATGCACCCGAGAAAATGGCCGCTTCCCCATGGAAAACCCCGAGTTGTACTACGAATATCTGTACCGAGCCATTCAGTGGGGCGTCGAGTACATCGACGTTGAGCTCTGGCTCCCTGAAGACATTAGACAACGGCTTTTCCAGCGAAGGGGTAACAGTCGCATCATGTCCGCCTTTCATGATTTCTCGGGCACGTTCCGCTGGCCCTCTACGCACGCTCAGCAAGTCTATGCCGAGTCGAGAAAGTATGCAGATATCATCAAGATGATCACTATCATCAATGATCACCACGAAAACTTTGAGCTCGAGTATTTCCGCTCCAAAATGAGGGCCGAATACCCAGACTCGCCTCCGTTTTCTGGTGTAAACATGGGGGAGACTGGGCAATTCTCGAGAACCCTCAACCGCGTCTTCACTCCCATCACGCATCCGCTGCTACCCATTGTGGCCGCTCCCGGTCAGATGAGCGCGTCTGAGATCAACGCGGCCCTGGCGTTGCTGGGACAACTTCCAAAGAAGACTATCTGGGGGATCACCAGCCCGTCGTTCAGGAGCTGGGTCCCGCAGGCCCCTTTTTATGAGAAGTGCTTCAACGAGCTAGGCTTGCCCCATCATTTCGCCGTCGTGGAACGCCAACCGAACAATATAACGAGCATGGAGGCCTGGTGTAACCAAAAGAACTTTGGTGGTGCTTACCTGAGTCCCCCGATCTCGTGGACCAGCCTTTTGAAGCACAGCCCTTTCTTCGCCTCTCTCAACCAGGGCAAAGGACCCGAACTCACCGAGGCCGCTCGCGTCATCGGGACTGTCGATACCATCGTCGTCAAGACGGGCTCATCATCTTCGGCCTCTTCAGCGCCGCCGTCGATCCCCTCAAGCCCACGCAATTACGACGCCTTCAACAACTACACTCCCGGCGCGTCGATCCTTCCAGCCAACACCTCCCTTGTCCTAGACAATGCCAGCTGGAGGGGCATCTTGAGTGCTCTGACCCGTGATCTGGCGCCGTCTGCCTACTTCGGTCGATCTGCCGTTGTGTTGGCCTCGTCCGGTGACGATGCGGCATCGGTCATGTTCGCACTCAGAGCGCTGCGCATCGGCAAGATATACACTGTTGGATTCCGGACCCCCTCAGCGCTTGCCAGAGAAGGCCCGGCCATCGAACCGTTCAACAGCCTCGAAAGTCTGCAAAGAGCTCGCATGGTTGGTGATGACGCCGCGCCCTTTGTCATTGTGTCAGCTCTGGGGCCTGAAAAGAGCAACCTCGTTGGCATGTTGATTCGCGTCTTTGGTGCAAACGGACGCGGGGGCTCGAACAATACTCGCAAAGTCTTTTTGGATCTCGCGGACACAGCAGGTATCAGAAAGGGCGGAGACCCAAGCATCGTCGCCGAGCAGAGTGGCTTCTCGGCTTATGGCTCGGCAGACACGGCGGCTTTCACCACAGTCGAGACCCTCAGGCTGCTCGTCGGTCAGAACGTGCCCTATAGTTTCGTTCGTCTTGCCAGCGGTCGAAGCTTGTTCTGATCATACCATCATTCTTGCCGGCCCGTGTGACGGACGCACGAGAAGGCGTACTGTTCGGCTATGCCGTCCTCAGTCTGAGGTACTCAACAGGCATGGCTGGAGGGGAAATGGCGAGACCACCGCACTGCCCCTTTTTCCGATGCACCCGCGGATATCCACACCTGGCGTAGCTGACTCGGCTTTGCGTCCCATTTGGGTTGCCTCACCTCCTCCTATGAGATTCTGGTATTCATTCGCAAAAAGCTTCCGAACCAGCAAGCATGATAAGTTTATTGGATCTGCGACGCTGGGCGGTCAGCCTGCTCAACATCGTGACACCTTGCGGGCTTTGTGAAGGCCGCCAAGACGCCACCTGCAACCTCGCAGTCGATGTCGCGAGCAAGAACCCTTGCCTGTGGGAGCAGCAAGCGTCAGGGCCGGGTTGTCATTTTTGGAAGCTCACGGAGCTTTGCATTATCGGCGTTTTCGGGTTCTCTATTTGACTTGGCACAAGCTGGGTCTGGATTTTCAACCATGGTCGCGAGATTTGATTGTTTCCCTGTTTTCCTTGTTGTGTCAGTTTCGTCTTGTCGCGCTCGCATTTTGAGCAACTCAAGTTCAGGACCCTGCACTCGTGGTCCTGCCCCTTCATTTTTGGTGGAACGTGTTCGGATGTAGATACTTATCAATTCCAAAGGGAGGCATGTCGCCTCCTGCATTTTGCATTCTATCACAAGCACGATGCTTCTTGCAAGTCTTCGCGTCAATCACATATACCTAGGGATGCCAGATATAGGTGGTGTCCGGATACGGCCGGCGCAGAGGTACCCTCCGCCCATGGTTCCGGGATCTGGTTCCGTCCAGAGCGATCGGATGGTCGTCCCATGTGGAGGCGCGCCATGAAAGCGAGTGTGCGACGGCAGTGTCACGTTCGCCCAACTGCCAAACCAGACGTGTACGGCCCAAGAGCGGCAATTGCTGCGTCGGAAATGTTGAGAGCTAGAAGTGCGGGGGGCATGTATTGTGCATATGGCGTTCTTGGTGGTGTGGCTCAAGGCCCGATGGAGCTTCGTGTGTGCGTGACAACTTGGCAGGCAACAGCTGGAGTGGGAGGAAGGCCAGCTTGACCTGGGCAGGATCAAGCCGTTCCTGGACATTTCTCTTTCGGACATCACTTCTAGCGGCAGGCTGTAGATCAACGGGGAAAGCGGTGTATAGTACGACCCATCTGGCGAGACCAACCAGGTTGCTGTTGTCATTGTCGATCCTGGACACAAAACTTGACCATGTGGAAGTGATCCGAACGAGCCGGCTCGTGAACTGAGCTTGACTTGATCGACCGGCGCGAAACATGAACACTCGAGTCCGCTACTGCTGCGAGATCATCAGTAGACCTAATCTCGGGTTGTGAGGCTCAAGGGCGCGTCGGGAAGGCGGGACGTGTGCCCCCTTTTGGTGGTGGCGCCACAAGGACAGAAACAATTCAGAGTTTCGAGCTTGACCGGTACGCCATCAGCCCCTGAAACCGGAGATAATAAGCTTGTTCCTGCTCGAGAGCTTGAGTCGGCTCGGCTTCAGTCTAGGCTGGTGCCATGGCAGCGGTGAGCGATAGTCTTTGAGAGCAGGTAGCCAGGGAATACGAAGTGAGCGTCTGGGGTCGGGGGACCATATCGCGAGCTGGGTAGGGATTGACCAGGGTTGATTGGACATGAACCTCTCAAGAAGGTGAGTCGTTTTTTCCAGGGTACCGTTCTGAGTCCATGAGACGAAAGCGGCGGGGCGAGCGTGTGAACACGTTGTCGCATGCATGTTGCATACGCAGGTTGCTGGGTGTTGCAGGTCAGCCTGGATGCGACCTCGACGAGGAACAGATCGTGACTCGCCCGCTGCCGCGAAGCAATATACAGTAATATGATTTTCATCTAGACTTGTCACTCATTGTCCAGATAGCGAAGAGAGTGCTTGGCCGGGGCGCGAATGACGACTCAGCAAGCCCGGTTGCGCCGTCCGCGTCACGCCGTGGCCGGGGGTGACCAGGAGATTTCCCAAAACATCGTGTGATCAGATTGCAGGTGCCGGCAATGCCCAACTAACATGACCCCAGTGCGCTGGCCAGAGCTATCCGACACGATGACGTTGCAGGGAGCATGCTAAGGGGCATTTTGCATGCCCACCTGGACCGCCCGGGGATTATGGGGAAGGAACCGATCGAGGCACAGCTTATCGCTCCCGGCATCAGACGCCCAAAACACTATGCAGCGGTTGGCCAGTGGTGATGAGCCGCTCCAAAAGACGAATGCCGTGCAGGGTCGCCAGGCATCGGCAAAGACTAACGGGTGGCGTGCCGGCCTTTTTCTATGTTGTTCTGACTTGCTGGGGGCTGAGAAAGGCGAAACACACAATATGGTCAGAGTTCTTCAAGGTGGCATTGCATCCTTTGCTCTGGTAGGTCCATTAGAACATTGCCGAAGGACTTGGGCGGACCATCAGACTTGCCCCGTAGAGATGGGCGACACCAGCCGTTGCCAGCGTGCCATGTTCGAGCAAGCACAAGACGCGGGCAGGTTCTCGCTCGAGACGAGTTCCCAGGCCCAGACAGGTATGGCGGATGTCTTGGCTGGCTGGCAGCCGGTTTCTCCACACTGATCGCCCGGGGTCCGCCCCCGCGCCAGAAAGAAGCCTGGCCACCCCGCAGGACGCACGCTGCAAGATCACGGTCAGGTAAAAGTCACCTTGAGGGAGCCCATAAGACATTCACCTTGCTAACAGGCAGAGAGCCATAGGATCATCGTGCCAATGCCCGAAATCTGATTGATCCTGGTGATCCTGCATCGCTGACGGAGAGGGGGTCGGCTGTCGGAAAACCAAGACGGAAAAAGCGGCTCGGGGATAAGGTAGCAATGGAATCTCGTCCCAGGGCGCGTCGAAGGCCTCACGACTGACAGACATACAGCCCAGGGCCTGACTGTAGTGGGTGGGCAAATGCTACTACGTGCACACACACAGAAGAAAACCAGTTAATATGGGTGACAACTAGCGCTGGGCGGGATCGTCAGGGTCGTCCTCGTGGCCTTGACTTTTGTTCCTGCCTGACGAATTGTCGAATCGTGGGCAGATATATGCGATAGCCATTATCGAAGGCAAAGCATTGTGCAGCCGGACCAATCTCCGTGGCGTCTTCTTACGGCTGATGGCTGGTGGTCTCTCCCGGTTGAGTGCCGCCAGGCTGTGAAGTGCATCTGTCAAACAATTGGCGTTGTGAGCTGTGTGAGAGAAAGACGGACGAAATGGCTGGGGTGCGGTGCTGGACAAATGGCTCCGGCTCCGGCCTTCAGGCACAGGGCAGGGACGACCCGAAGTAACTTGTTCGCGCGTCCAGTGCACCTGACTGCCTGCGGCAGTGGAGCGGTTGCGCGATGGTGGACATGGCCCCGCCGCGCAGTGCAGTGAGGTGCAGTGCCTGTAATGGTAAGGTAGTCGAGGCAGGCAATCGCGACTGGTGTGAGCTCTGCGCCTCGTGTGCGCCTGCCGGGAAAGCTCGAACCTCGATGGCCAGCGCAGACAAGAGGGAGACCCCGGGAGTAGATTGTCTTGGAGGGAAGAGCGAACAAAGCTTCCATGAGTCTCGATGCGTCAAGGAGAAGGGAGACTAGGTACCTAGAGAAAGCGAACACATACTCTCTCACCTGCACCCCTGCCTGTCGCCCACGCTGGCCTGGAACACTCGAGCATCCCGGGTCAATGTAACCCAAACCTCATCACCTGGCGAGAGGCGACTCCACACCACCTTGGCCGCCATCTCGACAAGGGCTGGAACTCGACTCGACCTGTCGAAGAAATTGGGGGGAGGCAAGGTAATAACACGGTGCCTGGCTGCCTCGAGGCCGAAGTTGCGAGGCGACAAGGTGGTCAGAGCCCAATTTGTGTTGTTGACTGCGCGGCAAGGACGGACTGTTCCCGGTGCATACTGGGGCCAGGGCACTTCAGCTTATGGAATTCTGGGGAGCCCATCTCATCACGAAAAAATTCGGACTACCTTGCCCTGACTTGAGTCTCCCCCCAAATGACAGCCTGCCGTGGCTGGCCTCGACGTTGGCACCGCGCATCAACACATGAGGCACTTTACTCTGGACGACCCCCCTTTGGTCATCTCCCAGCCAAGGAGCCGACTGAGTGTTCCGGCAACGAACGGCGGCGAAGCGATGAGTCCTCAGCTTCTGACACCATTTCGACGATCACAGGGCCTTTCTGGGCAAGCTTCTCTCGCTCGTTGCGCGCCCCCCCCCCCTCGGTGTTCATCGACCCTTTTCCGAGCGGCCTGGTCATCATCCAGCCTGCCCTGCAGCATGTGGTCGCTTCCCTCCCCCCCTCCTCGCTGTGCCGCCCGTTCAAGGTTCCTTCTCACCTTGGACCTATCGCCATGTTGCCTTGGCCGATCAGGGAAGCGCTCTGCCGAAGCACGCCCACACCCCAGACACGGGGCCGGGTAGTCTCGATATGGAAGCTTTCCGCCCAGCCGACCTCAGCCTTGGAAACCCCTTGGAAAAGTCCTCTCCATCGTGTCCATGCTGTGCCATGCCATGCCATGTGCAGAGTCGGCCTGGTGGCCTTCTCCATCGTTACACAGCCTTTTGTGTCTCGCATGTCGACCATGCTTCCCCTTTCCAGCAAGGCCAAACTCTGTGAATCAGCTAAGGCATCGCGTGGCACACAACGGTGACTCGGCATGAACAGCAACGATGGAGGATCGAGAGACATGCCAACCTGGGGAAAGCGCAGCGTCCGCGAGACACAGAAGAGGCGCCTGAGCTGCTCTCCCGCTCGCTGCCCCATCTTTTGCCCCATGTTCCCCAACTTCCTTCCTCCACCCCCCCTCGAAAACCCCTCCCCCCTCTTCTCCTCCTCCACTCTCCCACATCGGCGCCCGTGCAGCACACCTCACCACAAGGGGAGAGGAGGCCCTCCCCCCCCCTGGCGACCCCCCTAATCATCTTCTCCTCTCACCACCCTGGTCCCCTGTCCTCCCCCCCCGTCATCGTGGCCCCGAGGTCCTGTGGCTGTCCTCTCGTCGTGTCCCCCAGTTTTTTGTTTGGCCTGTCTACCTAGTGTCGGTCTCGGTGCAGGCACCCTGGTCTCCTCTTTTTCTTTTCATGCCACGATCTCCATCTCCTCCGCTGAAGAGCCGAGTTGAGCCTCTCCCCTTTCCTCCCTTCTTTGCCACGCTGCTGTCTCTGTTGTGCCGCTCGAGTGTTGGCTGACCTGGACCTGGATCGCCGCTCGTAAAGGACCCCGGAATTGCACGACTCGCAGGGCTCATCACTCCAATCCGCCCCGCTTGTCTCCCCCAGCCCGCCTCCGCACCACGTACCACGCATCAAGAGACCACTGAGACCGGCTTGCGGACAGTCAAAACAGCCTTCATTTTACCATCCTCGAGTGGGACTAGCCCCCCCTGCCCATTCCTTTCCTCTTCTTGCCTGCCTTACCTTAGGGCAACACCTCTTTCAGTTACTCCTCGCCTCGTCACCCTCGATTCGATCTCGTCGGGCTCTTCACCTCCCTCACACATCTGGAAGACTCACCAACATTGTCGTCCTCACGGCCTAGCAACGTCTCAGTGCTGTTGTACACATCGCCCACGCCACAACTCATCACGAGCAGTCGTATCATCGCAGCACCACAACTCCTCACCCGACATCTCGGGCCGCCTCACGCGCCACGCCACACCACGCCACGCGAACCTGAGACCGCGAGAGAGATTCTGAACCTCCACCTTCGACGACCATGTTCCACATAGCAACGTGAACGACTTGTCGAGACCCAAACCTGTCGTGTCCGGGTCGATCGCCGCCTAGCCCTTCGTGCTTTGCGCAATCCATCACCACCCGGGACCAGCCCCTTTGACACCTCTGCTGGGCGTTCCGGCATTGCTCGCCTGATCCAATCGATTTCCGCCTCAAATGAACGGACTACAGGCCATCCCCCAAGCCGCCGCCATGACCCGTCCCCAGGTCGGCATTGAGCGGCTGCCGACGAGACGCATGAGCAACGAGCCCAGAGAGTCCATGAACTGCAAGTCTTGTCGCAAGCGCAAGGTGAGCGCACACATGACGCCAATCAGGTCGTCTGCCGTTGTGTGACACGACCGTAGTCTGACATTTGGCCCTACAGATCAAGTGCAATCGTCTTCGACCGGCCTGTGAAGCTTGCCAAGTTTTTCAATGCCCATGCATTTACGGTGCGTTTTTTCTTTGGTTTTCCTTTGCGGGGGGAGGTAATTGCGTGCGCTGTGGTTATGTGTGCTGATATATTGCCGGGTAGACGCGGTGCCAAAAAAACGAGGCCCCAAGACGGATGTTCTTGAGGCATTGTTGAAGAGGGTTGACGGACTCGAGGCAAAGTTAAAGGAGAAAAATGCAGGAGAGAAGACGCCCACAGAACCAACAGCCCCTGGACCTCTGGACGAGGAGGCCTCCTCGTCATCGGCAGCTGAGGTTTCTGACGAGGTGGAACCTAAGCCGAAACGACTCGCCATTGACACAATGAGGCAGAACGACGCGGATGAGTCCGCCGTGTATTCGCCGGCTCCCGCAGGGTAGCGCTCCCCTGTTGCCGTATGATGCGCAAAGAAGCTAACCTGTCCAGTGAACCTTCTCCTCCGACCGTCCAGCCTGATACTCTACTGGATACCTACTTTGCCCGTTTCCACGCCAAGCCGTTCCACATACTTGACGAATCTTCAGTGCGGCAACGCCTGCAATTGAGCCAGTTGCCAGGCTATTTGGTACAAGGAATATGTGCCGTCGCAGCAAGGTACGCACCAGAAAGCGATGCCGCAGGATCTCCAGTTTTGACATATCCTCTAGATACACGCCTCATCCAGGCGGCTACCAAGCAGCTGTCAAGTTGAGCGAAGATTATGCGGCACGCTCGAGGATAGAACTGGACACTGATGAGCCATCCGTCGACGCACTGCAAGCGCTGCTGCTGTTGGTCATTGCGTTCACTGCGGCAGGCAAGGGAAAAAAGGCATACATGTTGATGAGTGAGTGACACCCCACATGCTATTCTGCTATCCACCCAGTTTCTGACATGAAGCAGCCAATGCAGTTGGTATGGCAACGGCACTGGAGATGCACCGAGAAATGGACTCTCACGCAAGAGTTACGCCAGTGGAGAGAGAGATGCGACGAAGGCTGTTTTGGACATGCTACCTCCTCGACAAGTTTCTAGCCTGTGGTTCGAAGCGACCGTCACTGATTGGAGACAAGACCATCATTCTACGCCTCCCTTGTTGGTCGCCAAACCCATCGGCACTCCCCATCGACGGCGAGTTCTTCCAAGCCGCGTCCAACCTCCAATACCTCCAAGGCAGCGGGAAGAAGACGCAAGGAAGCACTGGCATGCTGATCGATATCAGCCGTATCCTGGGCATCACCAACAGGTACCTCGCTGCTGGTGGTGTTAAAGGTGATTCGCACTTCCCATGGCATTCACTTTCCAACCTTTCCAAAATTCGACAAGACCTCGACATCTGGGCCTCCGGCACCGAGGACGTATTCTCCAGCCTGGACACCTTGTTCGGTCAACTGGACTCGACGATTCTGGTGTTGAGCAAATTAATCTACCATCTCATCCACTGTCTGATATACAGGCCGTTCCTTCCGATCGATCTTTCTGAGCTTTCAGGGACTGGTCAACATCAGTCATGGCAAATCGAGGCCACCAACATGTGCTTTCTGCATGCGAACGCCATCTCGGAACTCGTAGAGCTTGGCAAGCAGACGGGTAGCATCGAATGGCCAGCCTTCGTCGGCTATTGCATCTGCACTGCCGGTACCGTGCACATCCACGGTGCACACTACAACAAGGTTGGAAGTGGCGAAATGAACGTTTTCAGCTCGTCCTCGGAGTTTTTGTCACGCGAAATGCAGCAACTCAGCGAACTCAGATATGTTTGGGTGAGCGTGCAGCATCAACGCGAAACGCTGCATGGCATCTATAATGCCCATTCTGAGCTCATCAAAAGCTTGGCCAACAACCCTATGAGGTACTCGCCCGCATTCCATCTAGAGGACTTTTTTGATCGGTACGCCAATATTGGCGGGCCGGGAGGCCAGTCATTTAACTTTGATGCCGCCAATCTGAGTCTGGCAGACGCTGTTGTCGACTTCACGGCAGACTCTTACGTAGGGCACGACCTGTATGCGCCACGCACTGCCAGCAGCAACGACGGCGAGCGACCAAACCTAAAGCGCAAAAGCACGTCGTCTTCTAGCCGCAAACGCCCAGATATGGCTGCTGTGGCATCTCTCAGCACAAGTATGCCAGCACCTCCCACACCTGGCCTGCAGAACGGATCCCGACCTCGGCATTCTTTCTCACACCAGAGCTCCGGAATGCCGCCACCTCAGCCTTCACCTGGCTCATTCTCGGCCAGCAACGGTCTCCATGCTCATCACGAGATGGCAGAGCACCATCAACAGATGGCCAACATGAACGGCCAGTATGACGAGTCTGCTGCAGCTGCGGCTGCGGCGGCAGGCTTCGCTTTACAGGCACACCACCACCACCAACAGCAACAGGGCATTCCATCTCTAACAGGAGCGCCCTTCTCCCCGCAGTTTAGCTTCAACACTCCAGGAGCGACTGCGGGTGGTGATGGGTCTGGTTCTTATGACCCAATGTTCGGAGGTCTGCCGACCAATGCGTTCAGCAGTCCTGCCGCTTGGCAGGGCGCCGACGATGGAAGCGGCAACAAGCTTCCCGTCGCGCCTCCGCAAGGGCCGACATCGGCAGGCCACGCAGCGGCCCCCAGCCCAGGGGCCAAGAGCACCAACGGCAGCACAGGCACCGGGCCTGGCGAGGAGAAGGACCCGTTCCTGAGTCTTCTGGAGCAGCTTGCGGAGAACGAGCAACAGTTCGCAAGAGGTCCTGGGAACGAGTTTGACTTTTTCTTCGGTGGTGGCGTCGGCGCCAACCAGTAAAGACGTCAGCTTGGACAAGTACTTGGCCGAGTCGTCAGGCACCAAGCAGAAGGAGAGAAGAGAGGGGAGAGAGGAGAGCGCGGATACGGCAAGTGAGCCATTCGCTGTGAGCAGGGTTCATGATTGCATGGAGTACAGTTGGTTCTCTCGGTGACGATTTTCAACGGCGGCATGTCTGGTGTTGGTCTTTGCTTTACCGGCGGAGGGTGCATTCGCCTAGATGCGTAGGTATGGGACGATGATATCACTTGGCTTGTACAGGTTCTCCACATGTTGCAGGAATGGGTTGATGGTAAATATAGTAGGAAGCCTCTCGAATGAGCGGCTGCTAAATAATAAGAGGGCCATGAAGACGCGATCTAGCAATGCAACGCCGAAAACGCCGGGAATCATACCTCGTAAACTCACGTCGTACTCTGTGTGACCGCAGATTGGTTGCCTGCAAGGCTGGCTGCACCGATCTTCAGATCAAGTGTGACACGGCAGTGATCCCTGACTCAAGGCTCGACCTGATGCCCTGTTAGGGGCCCAAGATGACGCAGCCTGCCGGGCTGCGGAGTGACGCAAGTGACGTGGGAACGGGCCGAGGTGACTGTGCGGACGGACCCTGAATCAGATGGCCGCCGACCAAGCCGATTCCGGAGCCGCTGACCCTTCGGCTCCGACAGGGAGATCAAACCCAGGGCGCGTGGGATCTTGGTTCGGCTCGATGGCGAACAGAGTCAGTCACGGGCACGCAGTGGAAGCGCTGATCACGTGGAGTCACGATACTGACGTCATTGTTTTCCAAAAAGCGCCATGCGAGGCACGTGATCAATTGTTGCTCTCGGGCAGGCGCTCGACAGGCATGGGTGGGTGGTATGCAAGGATTGTGGTGTCATCGTGTCGTGGTCTGGGACTGCCCTGCCCGCCGGAACGGGACCTGTCCTGCTCGGCGATTTGACTTTGATTTCCCACATGATTTCCCAAAGAGATGGGCATTGCCGTGCAGCAGGTGATGAAAGGCGTTGTGTCGGTGTCTGGGAGGGGCAAAGTGGTTCGATTACGCAAGTAGAGTTTTGCTAAGGAATCGCGGCACAGAGAGAGAGAGAGAGAGAGAGAGAGAGGGAGCACACCGAGGGACAGCGCGAGGAGGGGCCGTTCCAAGGGCCCTAGAAGCCGTCACACCCAAGCATCCGGTACGCCTGTGGATGTTAAGCTTGTTTACCCACGCCGAGGGGGGCTCGCGTCGGACGGCAGAAGGAACGAAAGGGACGCCATGGGCATCTGGTTCATGTCTTTGGTGCAACGTGGATTGACGTGGGCGATCGTGGAGCGGTTCGCTTTGCCAGGCAGACAGGAAATGGTGATCGCCAAGGATCAGTGCAAGAGGTGGTGCAACGCACACCTGAAGGCCCAACTATCCAAGGCACCACTCGAGCGGCCGGTCACTAGCTAAAGTAGGTCAAGCTTCTGGCGCATCCAGTTTTCTGGAGGACCCAGTTGGCTATATTGAGTTTACGTACTGGTGCGAGGGCCTCATTCCAACACAATGTTGAGGTGTGACATGGGGGTGGGTTAGCGACATTTTTTTTCCCTTCATGCGCCCGCGTGGTGTCGAGTCAGGAGGGCCTTGTCGAGGGATGAAGAAATCCGGGGTAAGGCCCGCTCTCTGCTGGGTTTTCATGGGCCTTTATTGGGTGGAAGGACAGAAATGTCATCATGCTGGGTCTGTCGAAAAAGAGCCCCAAAGATCCAATGGGTCAAGCTGCTCCCCTCGTCAATACCCCCCGCCCTCTGCTTCATTCATCACCATCACGCACCACAGCTGCTGGTGCGTCTCTTGAATAGCCCCTCCACACCAGTTGCTATCAGCGGGGTTTTTCTTTGAGAGCAGCAGCCACATCGCGCTGGCACCATCGTGGTGGCGGGGGAGCGGGCTGCCAGCGGCACCTTGATTCGACAAAGGCTTGATGTCTATTGATCAGCTGTCGACCGAACCATCGGATGAGCTAGACGCGAGCCAGGATCGTCCCTCTTGCTCTGTCTCGTTTGTCAGTGGATGAGATTGTTGGCGCAGCGAGAGCGAAGCGAGCGAGCATCATTTTTCTTCACGCTAGCAGGTGTTCTTCTTGGCGGCGGTTCGTCTTGCCTGCGCGCCGCCAGCAACAAGGCGTACATGTACATGGTACGACAAGGGGAGGGGCAGGCCCACAAGAAGAGCTCCAGTGTATTTTGAGAAGATTCTGCCCTCCGACCCTCCGACTTGACCGTTTGCCCGCCGCCCTGAACGTCTTGCGCCCACTGCCTCGGGAGTTGTTGTGACTGCCTGGTCCTTCTTGCCTGGTCCTTCTTGCCTTGTCCCTGGTCGCCTTGTCCCTGGTCGCCTAAATTACCTGACCGCCTCATTACTACGTCCAACGGTCACCAGTGGGTACACCGCACCTGCCTGCCACCCCACCCGGCACCTGCGTATGCCTGCTAAACATCCCGTCGGGCAAGGCAGCTAGCACCTGGAGCCCTTGCTCAGCATTGCCAATCATTCGCTGCTCTGCCTCTCTATCCTTCACACCTCCCATTTTGCCTGCCTCTTCCTCCTCCGTCATCCTGCTCCTTCACTCCTGCTGTGCGCCCTCTCAGTCTCAGTCGAGTGGTCAGAAGTCAGAAGTCAGAAGCAGAGCAGACTTCGGCGACTTCGTTCACCCCCTTCTGCTTACCTCTGTGCACACCGGAGGATCCTTTGTGCGACGGTTCTGCCTCGCCCTAGGTACCTGACAACGTACCTGACGACGCCAACGACGCCCACGAACCCTGCCGACGGTAGCGACGAACACACGAGCGCCCGCGCCCCTGGACGCCAGACGCCAGACGCCAGACGACGCCTCGAAACCAAAACTGCAGGATTGCAGCGTCACTCTTCCCACCCCTGATGATGGGACCGTAACCACCCACCATCAGTGCAACTATCAGTCTTCCTTCCCGCTGCTCCTTTGCCTTTTGAGGCAGCCTTCGCCAGACCCCCCTCCCATTCGCGAGCGCGCCTTTGTTATCACGCGAGCCTGACTCCTTCGATCCGGCTGGCAAGTCGAACCTAAATACGACACCAGTCCCCTCGCTTCCTTTTCGTGCCTCTTCCCGCCCTTCGCTTGCTTGCCCGGTCCACTCGAGCTGCCAAGCACAGTCATCTGGCCAAGTCTCATCGGTACGGCTCAGTAAGCCGATAAGCTGTCAGCACAACCAACATCAACTGACTGGCATTGGCTACGTTCCGCTCACGGCACCACCCATCTGGACTCGACCGACCGGCCCTCAACGACGCCATCGGACTCCTTCGCATTCATCTCTTCTCTCGACAATTGTATCGCTGCCTTCGGTCGCAAATCACTTCCTGCGGTGCGACCAAGCCAGACGACAACGTACTTGGACGGTTACCGCTCCAGTCGCCACAGCCCTTGTCCCAAAAGGAGCAGCCTTCAATGTACTCGAGCAAAGAGCGATGGAAAGCCTTCCCCCATCACAACACTAATTGCTCTTCACCACCGCTCGCCTGCCCTCCGCGGCGGCCGACAATCGATAGGCCGCCCAGCAAGCCGCCGCTGCACTCAACATGTCTTCAGGCGCCGCGGGTGACCACACCCCAGATCGCGGGCCAGTCGTCTTCGCCGTGACCCTGTCGACACTCGTCTTGGCCAGCGTCTTTGTCGCAGCCCGCATCTTTTGCCGGTATGTCATTGTCAAGAACGTCAGCTGGGATGACAAGATTATGCTCCTCGCGCTCGTCTTGACCTTTGGCTTGTCTTTCACTATATGTTTCGGCACAACCAAGGGACTCGGCCGGTACGACGATGATATCAGCATGGACGATGAGGGCGCCCTGCGCCGATGCGAATATGTCTTTTCCATCTTGTACAACCCTGCCTTGATGGGCCACAAAAACGAGCATCCTCATATTCTACCTGCGGCTGTCGAAGAACACCCAAAAGGTCCTGCGCCTCGCGTCTTGGGTCACACTCGGCATCGTCAACGTCGCCGGCACGGTCCCTGACCCTCATCAACATCTTTTCAATGCCGACCCGTTCAAGCGGCATG